GTGGGCAAAGAGTTTTTTGATCAACTTGAGATAAATAAAATTGGTAATATTTTGAGGCTAGTAGCAGGTCCCTCCCTGTTGACCACATCTTATTATTCTTCTCCTTAGGGTTGCTACATTTAGTAAATAAGAACACAGGACACCCAGTTAAATTTGAATCAGATACATGATAGTTTTTTAGTACCTGTTTCAAATATCACATGACACATATTCTAAAAAAAAAGGTATTTATCTCAAATTCAAATTCAACTCTACATCCTGTATTTTGTCTGTCAACCCTACCTCGTCTTCTTAATGATCATTATGTGGATATAAGGTGCCTCAAAGCCCAATCATGTTGTTGTAACAGCTAGAGGTAATAGCTTTCATTTATTGAGGGCCTATGATGTGTCAATAACAGTGTTAGGAAATCTGTATAAAATATTCATTTAACCCTTGCAGTTACCCTGTGAAAATAGGTATAATTCTCTTCAGAGACGACATGTAACAACTAAAACTCCTCTCCACCTCCACCCAGAGATTAAGTAGTATGCTCAAGATTAAAGCCAGGATTCAAACCTGGGTCTCACTCCAGCATCCTTACTGCACTGCCCACAGTTACGTATAAAACATGGAATTTACGATTTCACTAAAAATCTGATTTAAACATTCTTTTACAAAGTAGTTTAGGAGACACCTTTTTTTAAAACTATCTTTAGCATAATGTAGTGAAAAAATCAGAGGAAAATTATGATGTTTATGAAATTAGCTCTTTTCAAATGATAATGCAAAAATCTAAATCTTCTGCCTGCCTTCCCTACTCCCCACAGCACATATATTTCACCCAATTTCAATATAGGTATATAAAAACACTTCAAAAAATACTTTGTAGGCTGGACACGGTGGCTCACACCTATAATCCCAGCAATTTGGGAGGCTGAGGCAGGTGGATCACTTGAGGTCAGAACTTGAGACTAGCCTGGCCAACAGGGCGAAACCCCATCACTACTAATAATACAAAAAATTAGCCGGGCATGGTGGCTCGTGGCTGTAGTCCCAGCTACTAGGGAGGCTGAGGCAGGACAATCACTTGAACCCAGGAAGCAAAGGTTGCAGTGAGCCCACAATTGCACCACTGCACTCCAGCCTTGGCAGCAGAGTGAAACTGTGTCTCAAAAACAAAACAAAACAAAAAAAACTTATGCAGTAGGCACAACCTTGCCATTATCACCCCAGTTTAGATTTTAGTTGTGTGAGCAACTATCTATTCATCCTTCTGAAACAGATCATTTGGTGGTATTTTTGTTTTGGTCCCAGGAGATGTTTAAGACCTTGTATTAGTCTAGATTTGAGGACTTTCTAAGCCTAATTCTTTCAGAGTATAAGTGTCTTCTTGTTTTAAAGTAAATTTTGTGTTGGTATAACTTCTTGAATTTTTTTGTGCCTCGAAGATGTTCAAAGTTAAAATAATCATTCACCAAATAATGGTATCATTGCCTATTTTGCTATCTAAATTAAATATAAGCTTTACAAAGCCTCTCTTATTTTGCTTAAGCTATTATATCCCTTAGATGTGCCTGAATAGTAATTATTAAATTATGGGAACCGAATGTATCTTCTGGCTATTTAAACATAAATGTAAATATGCTAAATACACAAAATATAAAGACATATACTAAATTTGAATTCTGTATTCCTTGTCATCAAATCTTCATTATAGAAGATCTCCAGAAAAGTGTATGACGGTGATAAAAAATTAGTGAAGCAAATCTTTCAAGAGACCAAAACGGTTTCAAAATACTGCTTTAAGTAACCCTAGATAAATGACCACGGATTTGGAACCCTCTCTTTTAATCCAAAGAGATTAGCTACAAAAGAAATTAAAAGACAGCTTTCGGAAATTGTAAAAGTTACCATTTCATTCAGAAATGGTAAAAGTTACTATTAGTGAAATATAAGGCAGTACATTTACATTTTTATGCCTCTTGAAAATGATCATAAGTATTAGCTACACTTATGCAGTCTTGTTTGATGAGCAGAAAGATCACAATGGCAGGTATCACTGTGTACTTTAAATATTAAAGTAGCCATCACAATAGAGTAAATAAGCTGATCAAGTTTGTCCGGTAGGTTTTAGTTTACCGTAAGAAAAAAGGCTTGCCTCCCACATTTCAGAGAACACATACACATAGTATGCTAATGTAATTTGAAATAGACACACAAACTGCTGCCACTGGGGAAGGAATTAGATTGTAGGTGGGCATGAACTTCCACTTTTTACTCTGTAAAACTTTCTACCAAGTTCGAATATTTTGCAACAAGCATATATTCAGGTATTAAGTTTGTAAAAATTTAAAGCTATGTATTTTTAATTATGTACAGAGTTTGAGAAGTGAGTACAAGGATGAAACAAATCTGGGGGAAACTGAGAGAAATTAAGAGGATGCTCAAATCAGTGGTCTCAGCTTTGAGAGAAGGTGGGGCGGGGGTCAGGCCAACTACAGGCCTCTGCTCTCCTTTAACTCTCATAATTAGACCAGTTTCCCATTATTCATTACATTACAAACCTGAACTACAAAGTGGAACCTAACTCCACAGAGGAAAATTAAGCAAGACGGTCTCAAAGGTCTGCTACTCCATGGTTAATATTCAGTGTTCAAATCCTGTATAATCACAAAACAGGGATCTTAAATGGGCTAGGGCTGGAGCTGCAGTGGCTAGGGGGTGTTGGGTGTTGAACCTGAGGAGAGTGAGTAGGAAATAAGCTTAAGTTGAAATAGGAGGCTCCTCCTGACCAACTCTCCTTCTCCAAACCCCACAAAGAGAGAGGAACTGTCCTAAGTTCTTGGGAGAGACTGCTTTCCAACCTCAGAGATTTCAAAGGGACACGGGACCTCTCCACCTTTAGAAGTCAGCCGGGAATGGTCATGGGTTTGCTGCAGGCCCACTGCTGAAGCTTGGTGAAGAGAAAGGCAGAGAGAGGAGAGAAATCCAGTAAATGAAGCCAGAAAGTTAGTTTTTGGTTTTTCATTATAGTGAGCATACTGTGATGAACCCATTGCTATTCTGAGAGGGTTGGTTTTGTTTTTGTTTACCTGACTTGATTATAAGGAGTTTTAAGGATTCACTAATGGTTCCGTCCTACTTCCCCATTTCCTGTTCATGGGACATCCAACTGTCTGCTTCATGGTCACCTGGAGTGTTCTTAACATGCAAATCCCTGGGTCCTACCTCGAAATTATTCTCAAAATTTCAGGATTTGTCTGCTATTGAGGGAAAACGTAGCCAACTAACACAATTCTGGCTTACTGTGAAGAATGAGCACCAGAGAACAAAATTCAGCTATGAATCATCTTATTTTCCATCCTATCAAGAGTAGTCCATTTATTTTGTTCAACCAAAGGCCTTCTTTTTCCTCCTTGCCCCGCAGCCTCTCATCATTCCCAAATCGATGCCCCTGTTAGGCACTGCCCTAGACCTGAGCAGTCGGGGTGCTGCTGCACCTCCTGCTCTTTAGAGGCCCTGTTTCTGGCCCCCCTCTGGCAGCCTGCCTCTTTGCTCAGGGCCAGCCCTTTCTCGGGGTCCACGCTTCAGAGGGAGGAGTGGGCCACAAAATACAGCCTAGCTGGTGACCCTTCGGGTCGTCAAGGGGCTGCTCTTGGGGCGACAAAGAGCTTGAATATACTGGTCAGCGTGTGCTGAAGGCCCCTCGAGGTGCGGGCTGGAGCCTGGGCTTGGAAGAAAAGTGGAACGCGGGTTCTCCATTTGCACTTCCGGCCCAGGGTTGTAAATGGTAGGGGAGGTAACGACACAGCTCCACTTTCAAATGTTAATGAATATTCTGTTTCTGATGAATGCATTCAGTGCCTGTAGAACAACAGAATTCAGGGAGGCATAGGACTCATTTGGTACTTTTTAGGCTGAGAGTGCATTAAACCAGATCCCCAGCCCCGGGGCCGTAGGGACTGTCCAGCATGAAGCTAAAACTACTCCATATGCCATATCGGCTGTGTTGGAGTTAGTGAGGTGTGGGACTGCAGTTTCAGGTGCTCACATCAGGGCTACAGAATCATCCCTCTCCTTTCTGATAACCGCGCGCAGGGAATCGAGTTCTCCTCTGTGCCATCACCTCTTCTCGAAGCTCCAAGCTTTTCCGCCTTCTCTCCGCCTTCGAGTCCCAGAGGACGGTGCCCTGTGCAGCCTCCGTATTTCCCGACACGTCCCGCCTGCAAATCACTTAGGCGCTTCTCCCGGCAGTTTCTCGGATGCAGCGCGGAGCCCGGCCTCCCGCACCGGCTCAGGCTCGGCGCCACCCCGCCCGCTGAGGGCGTGGTCGTGGGCGCCACCGACGGCGCCAGCCTGCCTTCCTAAAGGCTCTGGGACAGGTGCGGGGCTGAAATTCCGCTCCTCCAGAATCTTCCCCTCCCCGCCAAAAAAAGGCTGCTTTAAAAATTCCCGACCTGGACTGTCAGCAGCTAAGGATGTGGAAGGGGGCCTGAAAAGGCCAGGGCAAGGCGAAGGAAGGTGCTGCCCGTGTTTACCCGCCACACGCTCTGAGTGCTCGCTGACCCCATCCCACACTCTGAGTCTATTCACTTGCTAGGCGGACCCTTCCTCCACGCTCCGCGACCAGGAAGGCGAGGTCGCCCACTCCAAGTCACCACGCTTGGGTATCCCCGGTTGCGCGGGGAAGCGGCCCCTTGGCCAACGCCCCGCCCTCCTCTCCATCTCCGGACGCTGGGCTCTCGCCCTTTGGCGTTCAGGAGCCCCTACTGCTGCCCAGCTGGCCACAAAAGCGCCCGAAAGTCACCGCTTGGCTTATTTCAGAGATGCCACGCAATAAAGAAAACGCGGCTACTTTGCATTCCGCAGCGCAAATGCCCGGACTGCGAGCGCGGACCCTGGATTCCAGCCTCCCGCCCTTTCCAGGCGCTGGAATGGACGCGGACGCCCACATCGGCTAGCCAGGTAGTGGCGGAGTGGGGGGCCCAGGCCAAGGCGCTGCGCGCCCCATCACTTACCTTGCCTTTAGCTAGCAATTCCATGATGTAGCCAAATTCACTCATCTCCCCCGACTCCGACATGTTTACGCCCCTTCACAAACTCTGGAGGACCGACACCGGTGCATCGAATTTGTGCCTTCTTTTCGCTTTTTCTTTTTCAGTCTGAGTTTTGCCGAGCTCCCCGCCAGTAAGCTGTTAACCAGGAAAAGTGAGGAAGCGCGGGAGAAAGCAAGAAGCGGGCTTGGGTGGAACGCAGGCCATCGAGGGCTCCCGGGCAGCCTCGCTCGGCTTGCTAGGGTCTGGGTGCAGCGGTCGGGGTTGCGCGATCTAACGGAACAAACGAGGGCGGCGGCGGCGGCGGCCGTGAAACCCTCACCAGGCGGAGCCGGGCGCGCGGAGGCCCCGCCTCCTCGGGGGTCGCGGCCGCGGTCGGACCGCAGTGGAGACAAACAAACGCGCACACAAAGCGGGTCGGCGCTCGGAGCTGCGCGGTCCCAGCCCAACATTCCCCAGCCTTTATCGGATGCGGGGAGGTTAGCTGTCCCGGGCTCTCGGCAGGAAGATCTGGGAAAAAGCCCCATCGCACTGCATGGAGGTGCGAGGGCAGAGAGAAATGAATGCAGAGGAGGCGCAACAAAGGGGCTGGCTGCCAGCGCCGGAAAATAAATAAATAAATACATAAGCGAAGGCCAGGAAATGGCAACGGCGCATCTCAAGTCAGCCTTCCTGAAACCCAATAGGTAACAAAGACCAAGCCCCGCGCTTCTGAGCTGAGAACAAATACAGGGATTGTATTTTAAACACTCTAAGTGTGTAAGGTCGATTGTATCTCCATATCCTTTTGATACTCAGCTTCCCTTTAACAACAACAACAACAAAAAAGATGAAGAAGAAGAAGAAAGAAAAGAAATTGCCAGCAGGTTCCTGAATACTCTCACCCTTAGTTACCAGAAGTCCATTTTTCTAATGATTTGTTTCGTTGGTTGAGTTAAAGCGTTTAGTGCATGCTTCTCACATTTCTATACTTCTTTTTATAACAGCAGTTTCCCTAGGAAGCTGCAGCTGAAATGGCCTCAGACCATACCTGACAATCTTTGCTTCTCTTGAAAGGAAAACTTGGCTGAACAAAGTCCCAGACGATCACTCTGCTCTAGGCAGTCTTTGCGATTAAGGGCTTTTTTTTAAAAAAAAAAAAAAAAAAAAGCCGCCAACAATAATTAGATTAGACAAGAATAAGATTTACAGCAAGAGTGAAACCACTTTCCTTAAGCAAGTTGGCAGAGTTTGCATCGGGCTCAGCACCAGTGGGCAGGGTGGGGTGTGGAAATGACCTATTTTATAGGCACGTAAGAGTTATGCAGGCCTAATGAGGCATGGGGGTTTTCTTGTTTGCCTCTTCCTTTTCTCATTTTCTAATTTCTCCTCTCTGGGCCATAAATCCGAAAGCATGCACATTTCTTTCTTTTTTCAACACACCTCTCCATAAAGCTCCAATAGTATTGCTCTGTAAGTGTTGTTCTGCCAAAACTTTGCTTCTTCAGTGTGTTACTTTCCTTTATGAGCTGGTGCTGAAAACCTCTTACAACAAGTAGCAAAAGTTAACATGCTGATGTTCACAGTTAGGGCTTTGTAGGAGGTAAGACACAATCATAATGCTTCTTGGATGTAGAGCTAGAAGCTTCTTGTCCCTCTTAAGTTCTGTACAACTTATTCTCTTTGCATTCATAGGAAAGCTAGTAGAATTCAACTAAGGTCTGTAGTATCCGTAAATGAGTTCTTGCCTATTATTAGCAACACTTGATGAATTACCAAAAAGAGATATTGCTCTAAAAGTGAATATTTTTCACATCCAGAATGGATTCTGGTACCTGATTAAAAACCGCAGTGTTAGAGCTGAACAGCTAATCTTATGTCTGCATTACAAGCAGGAGGGGAAAAGGTAGAGACAAAAGGGCACACAGGGCATTTGTTTCCCCTTAAAACGTTTTCCTCAACCGCATCCAGTGACCTCCACTTACACCTTTGTGAGAGATGGGTAATATGCACTCCCAGCTCCAAGGAAGGCTGGGGAGGTGATTATTTTGTTCTGGGAACACTGCCACTCTAAACAAAATCAAGGATTTGTTAGTAAGGAAAAAGAGGAGATAGATATCAGGTAGAAAGTGGTTAGTTTCTGCTAACCTTGAGTAAGTCTATTCAACTTTCAGAGTTTCAGTTTTCTCTTCTGTAAAATGACTGGTTTTGACTAAATGGTCTCTAACCCCTTCCTGTTCTAAACCCTAAGATCTCTGATCTGAGGATCTCTTTGCCATCTGGCAGCATTAGCTGTCATTCTCCTTCCCGAAAAAAGTTGCTGTTAACAAAAGGGCTGTCCACCTGCTTACTTGCTACTAGAATATATTCCAGGCAAAATACCCTTATCAGTTGCCTAGATTCCTACCCAAGACCAAAAAAGTAGTGGGGGCAAGAGTTTTAGAATCAGCTCCTGCAGTGTCAGAAGATCACCGGTGAGCGTGCCCATGTCAGTATTCAGAAGTTAGAACATAAGTTGGGTCCTGAGCATTAATTCCAATGCTTGCTGGTATTTACCACTCTTTATCATCATTGTGTGAGGAGCACTTTGGAGCATTAAAGACCTTTCAAAGAAGGTAGGCATACAAAATGAAGACCACATTGAAATTTCTTCTGAAATTCTATGCGTGCTCTTCAAAGACAGAGGGCCAGACTGTCAATAGGTACCAAATAAAGTTGCTTTATTTCCCTTTCTTCTTAAAAACAATTGAAATCATATAAATTTAAAACTTCACTCTCTAAAGGAACCAAAATTAAGAAAAATATTAATTCATATTTCTCTAAAAATAAAGAATGAAATTAACATGACAAATGCTGCCTCACATGGGACTTCCCTACCTAAGAGGAAGATATTTAATAGAGGGATTATGTGATGTGTGAATTTTTCACACTGAGAAGACCAGCAATATTAAAGGGTCCCTCGCTGTGGAAAATCTGCTAATTGCCAACTTTCATCAAATAAGAAAATTCTTCAACTGTTCTGTTGCCATGCCAACTACTGAAATAAGTGTAACTTATAGAGATTCACAACATCCTATTTTCTCCTTCTGATGGGAACCAACATAATAGCTTTAACAAATAACATCAACAAAATACACAATCCAACTTTTCTTTTTAATGGTGGACACATAAATTGTATTTTTGAAGGTTTTGAATTTAAAATCTATGATTAATTTTCAGCTTTTTAAGAGTTAGACTGAAATAAGGAACCTAAAAGATCTTACTTTTAATAAACTCTCACATTTTCTTAAAGTTTTTATTTCAAAAATATAAACCTAAAATTTGACTGATACCTGTACTCAAAAAGGTCATCTTTTAAAAATATTATTTTTATTGAGGTACAGTTTATTTACCATAAAATTCACTAATTGTCAGTGTACTGCTTAGTGATTTGTATTAAATTATGGATTTGTGCAACAGTCTCATAATCTGGTTTTACAACACTGGAATATCCATGTATTGAGATTTGATTTCATTTTTCCCAGCAGTACTCTATCACTTTTAGTGTTTAGATATTGCACTTACTGTATTACATATTGCAAAGTACTCTTTTTAATATTATTGTGACTAAAAGTGATTTCTTAATGTCATTTTTAGATTGTTAATTGTTGTTATATAGAAATACAAGTGATTTTTGCATAAGGTTATGTTTTGCAATGGGGTGAAATTCATTTATGAATTCCAGATTTTATTTTCAGATTCCTTATAATAGCATCTGTAATTAAAGACAATTTTATTTCTTCCTTTCCAATCTGGATGCCTTTATTTTTCTTAACTTATTGCTCTGGTTAGAACCTCCAATAGAACCTCCACTGAATGCATGCAGCATGTGCGGCCATTCTTGCTTCATTCCCAATCTTGGGGAAAAAGCATTTATTCTTTCATCATTAAGTACTGATTGGTTTGGCTACATTCCATGACTTTTGATATATTTTTAATTATGTTAGAAATATTTTTTAAATTTTCTATGATTTTTTCTTTGACTCATGGATTATTTGCAAATGTGTTGTTTAATTTCCAAATTAAATTCCCAAATATTTTAGATTTCCCATTTTTTTTGTGTTGATTTCTAATCCAATTCTGTTTTGAGCAAAGATCGTCCTTTGAATAATTTTAATGTTTTTAAATATACTCAGGTTTTTTTAATGGTCTAACATGGGAGTCAGCAACATTTTCTTAAGGGGTAAGATATTAATTGAACATTTTAGACTTGAAGCTATATAATTTCTGTCACTACTTGTCTTAGTCTATGTTGCTACAAAAGATTACCTGGGAATGGATAATTTATAAGGAAAAAAGGGTTTCTTTGGCTCATGGTTCTGCAGACTTTACACGAAGCATAGTGCCAGCATACACTTCCAGTAAGGCTTCAAGAAGCTTCCACTAATTGCAGAAGGTGAAGGGGAGCTGACATGTCACATGGAAAGAGGAAGTAAGAGAGAAAGGAGGAGGGTGTCATGTTCATTTTAACAATAAGTACTCATGGGAACTAATAGAACAAGAACTTCACTCATTACTGTGAGGACAGTACCAAGATATTCATGAAGGATCCACCTCCATTACCAAAATAGCTTCCACTAGGTCCCACCTCCAACACTGAGTATCAAATTTCAACAGGAAATTTGGAGAGGACACATATCCAAACTATATCACTACTCAACTCTGCTATTGCAGGATGAAAGGGACTATTGACAATAGGTAACTAAATCAATGTGGACATGTTTCAATAAACATTTATTTATGAAAATAGGCAGCTAAATAAGCACAGGAAAAGATGTTCAATATTATAAGTCATTAGGAAAATGTAAATCAAAACAATAAGATACCACCTCATACTCACTAGAATGGCTAGAATCAAAAACAGAGAATAACAAGTATTAATGACAATGTGGAGAAATTGGAACCCTCTTAGAATTCTTAGAACTTAGAATTACCACATGACTCAGCAATTCCACTTCTATTTGTATGCCCAAACAACTTGAAAACAGGGATTCAAACAGATACTTGTACACTGAGGTTCATTGCTACATTTTTCACAATAACCAAAAGGTGACAACAACTGAAATGTCTGTCAATAGGTGAATGGGTAAACAAAATGTATATACATATAATGGAATATTTTTCAGCCCTAAGATGTAATGAAGTTTTAACACATGTTACAATATGGATGAACATTGAAAACATTATGCTAAGTGAAATAAGCCAGCAATAAAAGGATATTATATAATTTCACTTAGATGAAATATCTGGAATAGACACTCAGAGACACAAAGTAGAGGGGCTGGAGAGAGTCTGGAATGGGATGTTATTGTTTAATGGATTTGCATTGGGAGTTTACATTGTTTAATGGACTTACGTTGGAAGTGATGAAAACGTCAGGTATAGATAGTGGTAACAGGTTGCACAACATTATGAATATAATTAATGCCACTCAATTGAACACTTAAAAATGGTTTAAAGAAACTAGGCAGCTGGCCCTTGGGCTGCAATTTACTAACCCATGGCCTAGAATACCACCTATTTTGAATAATATTCCATGTGTGCTTAAAACTAATGTGTGTCTGCTGTTGTTGAGTGAAGTAGTCTACAAAGGTCAGGTAAAGTTGATTATTTCTCCTTTTTTTTTTTTCTTTGAGACAGGGTCTTGTTGCTCTGTCGCCCAGGCTGCCTGAGGTGGTGTAATAATGGCACACTGCAACCTCCATTTCCTGGGCTCAAGCCATCCTCTCACCTCAGCTTCCTGAGTAGCTGGGACTACAGGTGCATACCACCACACCCAGCTAGTTTTTCTATTATTTGTAGACATAGGAGTCTCACTATCTTGAACTGCTGGGCTCAAGCAGTTCTCTAGCCTTGGCCTCCCAAAGTGCTGGGATCACAGGCATGAGCCTCCATGCCCAGTCTTCACAGTGTGTTTTCTCCAGAAGTTTATTACACACAGTCTTTGGCCCAAAGAGAGCAACAAAATTCCTTCGGATTGTTTGTTTCACAACAGTGGATCACTTCTTAGAGTTGCTCAAATGGTAGAATTAGAATAGTGTGCACATATCGTAAATCCATCCGCATTCTCAGGGGATGATATTTCTCTAGCAAGTTGGACTTTGCCCAGGAGAAAGCCCAGGGTAGCCAGCCCAGGCTATCACAGGAGCCAGTGGTCTCCTAAGACATGCTTTTGAGCACATGGCCTTCATGGCCTTCTGTGCCTGAAACTCAACTAGATCAATGGAATCCCAATGTGCCAATAGTATTCGTTCATTAAATAGTCCATTAAATGTAAGTGACCACCAACTGTGTGCCTGGAAGTATCTGGCAATGGAGATTCCACAGTAAACAAAATAAACAAGACTTTTAAAATATAAATGTCCTTTTAATACCATAGTGTGTTTTGAAAGCTTTTATTTTGTATTGGGCTTTCTGATGCTAAGGCAATATGATCTTGGTAGGTAGGGCAGGACCTTTATTTCCCTGTAGGGTACACAGTGAAATGATACACCATTTCTTTCCTAGGAAATGAGATATGTGGAGATCATCAGTTTGTTTGTCATTAGATATGGTAGAACTATATTGGATAACCAGTGTTCTCTTAACTAAGGTCTTCACTAGCTATTCACCCACTCCCTCCCACTACTTCTCCTTCCACCAATCCCCACATTTTCACATTAAGTCAAAAATTCTTCAGGTGATGACAACTTCTATAGGTACAAGGAAGCTAGGGTTAAGAGCGAAATCTGCCTCTGATCAATACAGCTGCGGCATCATCATAAATAATTTAACCACTTACACTGTTTTTAGTTTCTTTGATCTGCTTCTCTCATCATGTCTGGTTGTGTTACTGCCACAAAAGTTTGCTCTTTGAGACGATGAAAACCTTCTAGTTTTCAGAAAACCTCAGTCATTCTGGGGCAAAGGTCAACTTTGTATTACTGCTCCTGCCTCATGTCTCATAGCTAAGCATTCGTGTTTTTTTGTTTTTGGTTTTGGTTTTTTTTTTATCATTCTGAAGGATACTGGGTATGTTGCTGATTTGAAATTTTTCAAACCGGAGATAAATGGAGTTTATTATTAGGCTGACCTTAAGAACTATCATCCTGTAGTTCTTTATTTATTTTAGAAGATGGCTTGTTTTGTGGGTGTAGAGAGAGGTAAGCGAGAGAGAGGAAGAGGAATAATTTATGGGATCTCAGATTCAGTTCTTGTATTACTTTTAGGGGGCAGTCAGTGAGGAGATAGGATATATATATATATATGTACATATATATTATATATTTATTTATTTATTTTTGAGATGGAGTCTTGCCCTGTCATCAGGCTGGTGTGCAGTGGCACCATCATGGCTCACTGCAAACTCCACCTCCCGGGTTCAAGCGAGTCTCCTGCTTTAGCCTCCCAAGTAGCTGGGTCTGCTGGTGTGCACCACCATACCTAGCTAATTTTTGTATTTTTTTTTTTTTTTTTTTTTTTTTTTGAGGGGGGTTCGCTCTTGTTACCCAGGCTGGAGTGCAATGGCGCGATTTTGCCTTCCCGCAACTTCTGCCTCCCAGGTTCAGGCAATTCTCCTGCCCCAACCTCCTGAGTCGCTGGGATTACACACGCGCCACCATGCCCAGCTAATTTTTTTGTATTTTTAGTAGAGACGGGGTTTCACCATGTTGACCAGGATGGTCTCGATCTCTTGACCTCGTGATCCACCCGCCTCGGCCTCCCACAGTGCTGGGATTACAGGCTTGAGCCACCGTGCCCGGCCAATTTTTGTATTTTTTAATTGAGATGGGGTTTCACCAGATTGGCTAGGATGGTCTTGATCTCTAGACCTCATGATCCACCCACCTTGGCCTCCCAAAGTGCTGGAACTACAGGTGTGAGCCACCATGCCTGGCAGAGATAGGGTATATTAGGAGGTAGTAATTAGTATAGGATTTGCTGCTGTCTGATGATCAAACATGGAGTTCATTGGCTCTAGCAAAATAATAAATCATGTCTATTTTTCTATTTTGCCACTAACACATATTTTAAAAATCTTCTTGCTGTGCCAGTGTTCCTCAACAAAAGGTACAGCTCATATCTGTATTAAATTGAAATTTAAAATGTTAATAACACCAATATAAGCTAGTGACTTATTGATTAAACTGAGTATTTGGTACAGCTTGAGCACTGTTATTGTAGCTCTACTCAAAAGAGGGAAATGTCTGGGAAGAAATTTACTAAGTAGAAAAAAAGTGCTAAGAAAGGATTCTATACATGTCACACCATAAAAATAACATTGACTTTGAGGAGCAGAAAGGACAAGCTCTTGGCAGAAAGGCAGACATCTTTTCATCTGTCCCTAGACTACACTCTGATCAGCCAATGCAAGGTGGGTAGCTATGATGTCTGTTTTTAAATCACTTTTTTTCTGAGTAAAATCAAGGGCACAAAGGGGAAAGTGTGTTGAGAATTGTATTTATTAACTGACTTTCTGCTTAAAATAAAATAACTACCATATTCTCCTTCTAGAGAACTCTCTTTTTCCAAGTCTTGCTGTTCTTCATGCTTCCCTTCTCACGGACTCTGCTTTACTTTATTAACTTACTTTCTGAATCCATATTTGAAATGGAGGCTTCTGTGTCTTTTGTAATTTGAAGTGAACATGCTCTGTTTTAAGGACTCAAACCACTTCTGTGGCTCCTTTCTCAGTGCACACAACATTTAAGCACATCTCTGACTGGTGTTCTACAGCTCCTAGGTGTTCTGAAGTTCCTCCGACAGCACTGTTGGCTGTGCACTCTGGCAAACAAAGATGAAGAGCTCAACAGTTTGAATGGCTTGTCTAGTGTCAGAAGGTTATCAGAATTCATAACAGACTGAATATAACCCACAACAGCCCAGCCACAGCCTGAAACTCTGATTCTGAATTTATACCTCCTCATTTACTGTGACATGCATGGTTTTTAATTCTATCAGGGGAAACACTTTTATTATATTTTCCATTGCAAAATAATCTTCTACTGTGATTTCCTTCTCAACACATTTCTGGAATGCAGTAGCAATATTTAGAAATATTCCCTTAGAGAAACAATATGAATACATTAATATAAGTAATAAGCATATTTTCTGCAAATATATCTATTTTAGCATTATACCAGCTTGCTAGGGGAGAACTTTGTGTTTCACAAGGCATTTGTTTACTCTTAAAAAGGAAAATTGTTGATATTTTCCTTCCAATATGCTTATCTTTAAAGATTTATAACATAAAATATGCTCTGTGTGATATGTACTTATTCAAACTATTTGTATTTCATGTAATTCCAAAAGGAATTTTACCTTTCTTTTTCAGGTTTCTATTAAGACAAATTTGGTTTACCCTTATGAAAAGAAACACTTTCGGTGGCTCACGCCTGTAATCCCAGCACTTTGGGAGGCCGAGGCAGGTGGATCATGAGGTCAAGAGATCGAGACCATCCTGGTCAACATGGTGAAACCCTGTCTCTACTAAAAATACAAAAAATTAGCTGGGCATGATGGCGCGTGCCTGTAATCCCAGGTACTCAGGAGGCTGAGGCAGGAGAATTGCCTAAACCCAGGAGGCGGAGGTTGCAGTGAGCCAAGACCGCGCCATTGCACTCCAGCCTGGGTCACAAGAGCGAAACTCCGTCTCAAAAAAAAAAAAAGAAAGAAAGAAAAGAAACACTTTAACTGTAAAAGTACTCATTGAGTAAGAGTAACAAGCATTAAATAATTTGTTGCAGATTATCTCTTTTTTTTGTTAACAATGAAACAAAAATGACTATCAAATGTAAAGTATTAATATCTAACACATATTAAGTCCAAAAAGTGTTCACTCAATGAATAGGTGAACAAATCAATATGTATACTTACTTTACAACAGGAGAAACTAAGGTCAAAAGAAAGGTGTCAGCCACAATCTAGTATACTATAATCCAACTAAAAACTATCTAACCATCTAATTCAAAGCTTCTTTTCCCTTGTTTTATTTAGAAGACAAATGAAAGCTTTAATACTGAACATTTTGAAAGAGAAACCTGAGAATAATGGTTTGTGGGGAGAAAAGCTTCAGATTAAAATTTCAGAATAAAAATAAGGAGAAAAGTAATTTTACCCAAACACCACTTTGCCTTTTTTTTTTACTCTTAAGTGGAAGAGTTTCAAATAACCATTTAAATACTATAAAGTTAAAGAATTTTCTCAATTATAAATAAATTGTGCTTAAGGGAAACCTGGAAACTTTAGTGAGGTTCTAATTTTTGAAATTATGTGTGCCGCCTTACTTGTATTTTCTTTTTTTTTTTTTAAGTTTATATAAGGAATCGTTTAATTTTTAATTCATTTGGAACATATTTTGGGGTAGGGTATAATATAAAAGTTCTACATTTCTACTACATTTCAAGCAGTTGATAAATCAGCAATATTTCTTAAATTATTTATTTTTCCTTTTATGTGAAATGCTAACCTTATACATTTATAAAAAAACACACACACACATACACACATACATATTTGTCCAGGTACATGTATATATACATATGCACATGTACAGTTGATACTTGAATAACACATGAGTTAGGGGTGCAAGCCCCTGGCACAGTCAGAACCCCACATATAACTGTTGACTTCCTCAAAACTTTACTATTCATAGCCTATTGTTGACCAAAAGTCTTATTGATAAAATAAACAATTGGTTACATATATTTTCTATGTTATATGTATTATACACTATATTCTTACAATAAAGTTGCTAGAGAAAAGAAAATATTAAGAAAATCATAAAAAAGAGAACACATGTCTACCTTGTATTTTCTAAATGATTCCTCCAAGTGGGAAATAAATACTGTGATACAATTATGTCTTCAACTGCCAACCAACACCACAGTTATAGTCTAAGAAACTGTATTATATGGTACATAGGTTCAATATTCACTTTTCCTCCTCCTTTGTAACAGAACTTTGAGAAATGTGCCAAACTTAAAAAAAAGGAAAACCCATTTTACAGCTTTCTTTGCAGAAAGTGTTGATCAATGAGACATCAATGGGAGTTTTTATGCTGAGCTTCTGGGCGAGCCCTTTTACCCTCTCTTTCCTTTCCTTCTAACTGAAACACAGTTCTGATGCCTGGCATCCAACCACCACCTTGAAGTACTGCGGAGAACCTGAGGATAGAATTCATGCACTAAAATGGCTGGAGAGGAAAGAGGGATGAGCCTCAATCTAAAGATGGTGGAGCTGCCATTCCAACTGTTGACCACCTATGTTCTATCTTCATTTACTCCAGAGACAATTAAAGTATAACTTAAATGATTGATTAAACCATGTTATTTGAGTTTTCTCTTACATACAACTAAACCTAGTCACAATTAAGATAGCCATGTTATAGCTACGGGACTTTTAGCAACTCATTTTTCTGTCCCTCAGTTTACTCAATTGTAAAAATAGACACAATAGTGTTGACTCAGAGAGCTGTTATAAGGATTAATTAATATATGTAAAGAGCTTAGAATTGTAGCTAATCCAGACTGAAGGCTCAGTGAGTCTGCTATCATTGTTATTCACTTGCACCACCTATAGTACCCACAGAATAAATGAGAAAAGGAGTATGAAGAGGAGACATCACATTTGTTTCCTGCCATCTTCTTCAGAGACAAGAGACCTGGGTAAAGAGTGTAACAGAACACATAACACATCATATTTCTCAATTAAAACCACTTTACAGATTACAAGTCATTCTATAAAGATACCCGAGTTGTTCTAATCCTTACTAGAGCTCTGAGATACAGGTCAACATTGAAGCTTGCTTGAGTTGACAGGTAATTTGCTGGCTGGCTCAAGAGCTGGAGTCCCAAGTTCACTGTTCCAATAAAGGCCAAGTTGGCTTGGTTCTAGTTCATGACCCTAGACAGTACAGTATACTTAGCTTTGGTTAATTGTCCTCTGAACAGAATTCTAAATTTAAATCGTGTGGGAGAAGACTTGAGGAGGTCTAAGCCTTGCTCCTGAGAAACTCCAGACCCTCTCCTGCTGTGATTGGCCCTACCTGCCAGCAGGCATGTGGGGGTTGTAACTAAGCCCTTTTGTTAGTTTTTTAAAGGAAAATTTCCTGAATTTTTTCAAGAAATCTAATTCCCCCCCCCCCCCCGCCAGCTAATTGTTTAAAAGCCTTCTGAGCCTTTGGGTCTTACCTTTAGGATGAATCCCCAGTGAGCTCTGCTCACCTCTTGATGTAATAATGGTAACAGCTAATATTTTTTAAGCACGCAGTATTCGGGAGGTACCTCATAAGTGCTTACTCATATCATCCTACTTAATCCTCACAAAACTATACAAGGTGCTACTGTACTTAACTTTTAGAGATAATCACCCTGAGGCACAAACAGTGGAGTGACCTGCCCAAAGTCACTAGGAGAGGTGGTGGCAGAGCCAGGTGAGAGCCCATGGTCCTAGCCACCACTCACTACCCTTGTCTCATATTTAAAAACTCCACTATCTGCCTTCAGTTTTCAAGCCTCAACCACTCAGAGGGCCTGGGTGTGTTTCTTTGCTTGGGTGCCTTTGATTGTGGTCATATGTGAATTACTTGTTATTCCACATGCCAGTCTTTCATTACTCACAAAAGATAATAAACTCCCTTAGGTGATGTCTTCCACTGCATCAGCTACCCAGGTTGTTCTGTCTTCCATGCCAGAGGCTTGTTGCTTTTGGTGTGTCCTTCCTTCATCTCAGCTCACTATCGAAAGCTGGGGAGAGCCTATGGCTCGTGACTCCAAGGCCAGCTCTCCAGGGCTTTTACTTCTGTAACCTTCCTCCCCTAAACCCATAACCGTAATCTAATATAAGAAAAACTTCAAACAAATCCCAGTTGAGAGGCATCCTACAAAATACCTGACAAGTACTCCTTAAAACTGTCACAGTCATCAAGAACAAGGAAAGTCTGAGAAAGTGCAACCACCAAGAAGAGACATGAGAATTATTGGTAACGTAGTATTTCTGTTCCTGGATGGGATCCTGGAACAGAAAAAGGACACCAGGTAAAACCTAAGGAAACCTGAATATAGTTAATAATAACGTATCAGTATTGACTCATTAATTGTGGCAAATATACCATGCTAATGTAAGTTGTCAATGAAAGGGGAAACTGGTACAGAGTATTTGGGAACTCTCTGTACTATATTTGCAATTTTTCTTTAAATCTAAAACTTTTCTAAATTAAAAAGTTATTTTTAAAAAAAGTCGAGGCCAGCTAGTAAAGTCCTGTCCTATTTGTGAGGTTATACTGGGCTGGCTAATATTCTGTCTTCTTTATAGAAACCTTGAACCAAACATCTCCTTGTCTCCTCTGAAGAGTTTAGGGCACCTTATAGACAGGGATATAAGTTTTTATTGTTTCTACTGATCCAGGTGGCAACTTTTATGATTGCTGTGTTATACAGTAATGAAATCTGGCATAAGGAATGGCTTATTAAAGGTCACCAGAATGGCAGCATAGCTGGGTGTGGAGCCTTGGGTGGTACCTGCCCCAGTGCCATTCCAGGCTGGGCAGGAAAACTGGCTCAGATGAATTCAATTCCATTCAATTCAACAAATGTTAACTAGCACCTACTATGTATTGTAAGCACTGGGAAGCTATTAAAGTTGGTGCAAAAGTAATTGCAGTGCAATTAGGCGCCAACCTAATAAAACTGGAAAAGATTCTGTTTTGTGCTCAAGGACAGTGTGGTGTAATTGGGGAGAGACAGATACATCAATAGACAATTTCATTTCAAGAAGTTAAGTATCATGCCAGATGTGTGAAAGGTGTTGAGGGAGCTTGGGAGGAAAGATACCTCACCAGGCAGGAGGTGGACATTTGGCCCTAGGAAAAAAGTCTCAGCCTGAAGTGCAGGTGAATCCTGGTTAGGGGAAAATGTGTTCTTGTTCTGTAGGGGCTCTGCTATGTCTTATTTCGTAAGCCTTGAGGGCTCTTCTGAAGGGTTTACTCAATAGCAGTAGTAGGACTACATTAAAGCCAGTTTTTCTGGCAGAGCATTAATCTTACTTTCAGTGGCTCAAGTTCTGTGAGAACATGAAAGCACTTTGATATATATGAGTAGCAAAATCATGGTTCAAATAACTTGGCTTACTCTTGTGTCTCTGTGGTATGAATGGGGAAGGGAGATTTGTAAAGGATTTTGTGGACTGTAAAATATGCTGGCATTCCTCGGAGGGCCGTAACGGCCCTGCATTTTCTGTTTATGCCTTTAGGAGTGATTAGCTAATCAGGACAATGGAAATCAATGCTATTTTCTTATACCCTTTGACAGTAAGGCATAGGCATTTTTTTCCTTAGGCTGTGAACCAGATCTGGGAGACACTTACTGGGCCCCTTTCCATTTTGAGCCACATTCTCGTTAGACCTCTAGGTCCCAGTTTGAGGTACTGTACAAAGCCCATTTTGCAAACATGAGAGACTTTTCTTTCTTTTTAGTAGTAAGTCACTGCATTAGAGAAACAATTTCCTGATACGGAGGTTCCAAATCAATAGTCTGTGTAGTCTAAATGTTTTTCCACATATTTTGAAATTACTTGCTCTCTTTCCATACTATTCTCTGAGGGATGAAAAGCAGCCAGGGGTTGGGTCCTCTTCTGCTTGCTGTCAGCATCACCTCCCCTTCCCTCATCCTAGAAGGTCCTTCCATCAAAGGCAAATGCCCACAACATATCCTGAGACAGTTAACATACTTCCCTTCAAATCCACTTTCCTAAGCTATGAAGAATAAAGAAACTATTTGCTTGGCTTTACTCAGTACCCTGTGTCTCACAGACTGCAATTCTTTGGTAAATTACATCAGTAATTGTTTAGCCATCAGGGAAAACTGGTCATTTATAACATATTCCTTTTCTGAGTCTCCCTTAACACAATAGAAAGGCCTTAGTGTTCAGATGAGGATTTAAAAAGTGGTGGCTGGAGGTAAGTTTACAATGCTTGGGGAAGAAAAAGGATTTACCATGACTGAGAAGGCTGAGGCAGTAGGAGCACTTGAGCACAGGAGTTCGAGGTTTGATCTGGAGGAGATCGAGGTGAGCTATCATCATGCCACTGCACTTCAGCTTGGGACAACAGAGCGAGACCCTGTACCCTGTCTCAAAAAAAAAAAAAAAAAAAAAAAAAGCAAGAACATGATTTTTGTTTTGTTTTGTTTTAGACAGAGTTTCGCTCTTGTTGCCCAGGCTGGAGTGCAGTGGCGCAATCTTGGCTCGCCGCAATCTCCGCCTCCTGGTGTCAAGTGATTCTCCTGCCTCAGCCTCCAGAGCAGCTGGGATTACAGGTATGCGCCACCACACCCGGCTAATTTTGTATTTTTAGAAGAGATGGGGTTTCTTCATGTTGACCAGGCTGGTCTCTAACTCTCAACCTCAGGTGATCTGCCTACCTCGGCCTCCAAAAATGCTGGGATTACAGGTGTAAGCCCCTGCACCTGGCCAAGAACATGATTTTTAAAGTGGACATAGAACAGCTAGGAATTAGAACTTCTTAGTATCTTTAAAAAAACAAAAGACAGTAACTGACCAATATCTACATTTCTGGCGGGTAAAAAGGACTGAATAGCTGGGCACGGTGGCTCACGCCTGTAATTCCAGCACTTTGGGAGGCTGAGGTGGGTGGATCGCGAGATCAAGGGTTCAAGACTAGCCTGGCCAACATGGTGAAACCCTGTCTCTACTTAAAAATACAAAAATTAGCTGAGTGTGGTGGCATGCACCTGTAATCCCAGCTACTCAGAAGGCTGAGGCAGGAGAACTGCTTGAACCTGCGAGGTGGAGGTTGAGCCGAGAGTGCGCCATTACACTCCAACCTGGGTAACAGGGTGAGACTATGTCTCAAAAAAAAAAAAAAAAAAAGCACTTAGACAGTGTTCATATCAAAAAATGTTTTCTTTCATAACTGATTTTGAAATGATTTAGTTTCTCATTGCTATCACGTTATTATATAAGCTGACAGTTAAAATACATTAAATTTGGAAAAGATGGACCATGATTTTATATCTGGTCTGAGGAATAAGAAATGGATTTATGTGCTCTCCTGCATGTTGTGAAACTAGCCACAAATCAGAGGAATACACACAGAATTATTTTAAAATAACTCATAAATATTATACACATTACAGTTTTTAAGAGGAAGCAATTTTCCAGCGGAAATGGCCAACAAGATTACCTGATTTCTCCAATAAGCATGAATTGTATACCTATCATGTACTGGGTTTACCTCCTAGAAATTAAAAAATGAGTAAATCAAAGATGCTGACACCAAGAGCTCACAGACTGCTTGGGAAAATAGAGAATAAACATAAAATTATGGTACAATGTGATAAGTACTGTAATAAAGACACATCGAACTAGGGAGCAAGAGGAAGGAAGGAAGACTTTATAATGGGCTGGTCACTCCCTCTGTCTAGATCTGCTGGGGCAGGCGAGGTTTAACTTTTACATTGAGAGTCGAAGGATAAGTAAGAGTCCAAAAGGGCAGGTAAAGAGAATTAATTCTAGGCTAAGAACCACCTATGTGAAGGCACAAGGGTAGAGAGTGCAGTGCCTTTAGGTGTTAGATACTTTACTATCATTAGGTTGGAGAGAGGCAGTGACCAAAGATGTGGCTGGAAGTGTAGGTAGGACTTAGATCTCCAAGGGCCTTTTAAAGCATGTCATGGAGGTAGACTTTACCCTGCAGACCAACACTTCTTAAATTTTAATGCTTATATGACTCATTTGGGGATCTTGTTAAAACATAGATACTAGCTGGGCATGGTGGCTTGCACCTGTAGTCCCAGCTACTCAGGAGGCTGAGGCAGGAGGAGTCACTGAACCCAGGAGTTTGAAGCTCTATTACACTATGATCATGCCTATGAACAGTCACTGCTCTCCAGCCTGGGGAGCACAGATACAGCTCAGGTGGGGCCTGAGTTGTCAGCTTTTCTAAAATACCCCAGATGATGTGCTGATACAATAAAGTTGGTCTGCAGACCATGTGTTAAGTAGCAACAATTTACAAATTACAAAATTCCATTACTTGGAATGAATTCTATATACTAAGACATACCTTCAGCCCTTGAGAGGAACCGGGACATGATTCAACTAGAGCTTTCAGGATGGCGAATTTTGCCTATAAGTTGCCCCCTAGGTTTGCTTCTGGTGTTCTACAAATGCAATAATTTTTTTCTACATGTTCTAGGATGTGAAGACAGTGGGGAAGCAATGTAGCACAAATAATCCAGTCAGTGCTATGAGAACCACAATTTGGGCCGGGCACGGTGGCTCACACCTATAATCCCAGCATTTTGGGAGGCCGAGATGGGTGGATCATGAGGTCAAGAGATCGAGACCATCCTGGTCAACATGGTGAAACCCTGTCTCTATTAAAAATACAAAAATTAGCTGGGCATGGTGGCGCACACCTGTAATCCCAGCTACTCAGGAGGCTGAGGCAGGAGAATTGCTTGAACCCAGGAGACGGAGGTTGCGGTGAGCCAAGATCGCACCATTGCACTCCAGCCTGGGTAACAAGTGCAAAACTCCGTCTCAAAAAAAAAAAAAAAAAAAAAAAGAACCACAATTTGGCTTTTTTGGTGGGGAGAGGATTGCAACAGTCCCAGTTATCCAAAGCAGCTGTTATTCATCGTCAGCATGGCCCAGAGCCTTTTCCCCTCAGTAGTAATCATTTGGAGATTGAAATCTTGGCTCCAGTTCACCTCTGCAGTGGTGCTTTCTGCAGCAGCCCAACTCTGTCGAGGCTCAAAGTCCAAACATGCTGTCATGCAGTGGCAACAAAGGAGGGGTAGAATTAAAAGATAAAACTCTTGTTCCATGCCCTTTCAGTTATTGTTTAATTATTTTTATGAGTTTATAAGACATTTTGCCAAGTCACTCCTTAGCTCTTTTTCAAAATACAACAATTATTAACTTGGTCACTTTTCCTAATAACCTATAGTAGGTATTTGGAATAGGAAAATGTCAGACTGTATCAAATGAAAGAAATTTGAATTTCTGTGCAGTTGGTCTTTAGGTTAACATTGTATATAACTATGTATGTATGAACATATTCACACATGAGATTGTACCTGCAGGTCAATTTCTAGAAAAGAAACTGCTCACAGGTGTTGCCTCTGGAGAGGAGAAGTGGGGAATGGGAGAAGGGTCAGCTGTGGGAAGAGATCTTTTGGACAGTAGTATTTCTTTGATTTTGTTTTAATTTTTTTTCTAATATGATGGCTTAAAAAATACAAAATAAACAACTGTCTCAATGACTGAAAAGTATGATAACACTTGTAGGTTTGGGTAATATAATCCCTTTCCTCTGGGTCATCTAGTATTGACTCTTCTTATACTTTTTGTGTGTTTAAGGAGAAAAGATTAATGTGTTTAGGTCTCCTAAAGTTTAAGCCCAGGTTGGTAAATTACGTAAAGCTTTTTAGTAAGGAAATCAATTTTTGAGATAAAAAAAAAAATTCCCTGTAAGAATTTTTTTCAATTGTTTCCTCAGATGATGATTTTCGCCATCTCTTCAGACAACAGTAAAACATAAAATGAGACGCAGCATTACAAAATGAAAAGAATTGGAGGGAAAGACATTTGTTTTTAATGAAGTCAGGCATCCTAATTGATGCCCCTCTCTCCACCTTCTCTCTCTCTCAACTTTAATATCATAGAATGCTGAAGAAAGCACATTCCAGATATATGCTGCATAGACTAGTAACATTTAATGGATAACTTCCATTATGCTATTATAAATTTATAAGCATAGAAGCATTATTGTCTTCCATAAATACTATGAGTATTAAACATTCAACAGTCATAACCCAGTTTGCGATCTCCTATGACTTACATAAAATGTTATCTTGATAAATTTCAGTTAAATTAAATGGTATACGAGAAGCAGGGTTAGGTTGCAGCTCCGACTCAGACAGAGCAGCATGCAGAGGCTCTCATTGTGAATTTTAGCTCCAGAATGACTGCAAGAACAAACTAGAAATCCAGAGAAGACCCACAGACTCTCTGAAGGAAGTGGACTGCTTCTGCAGGACCCAGGAGACACCCAAATACTATGCTGGTATCCATGGCTGAGAGACCCATAAACAGTTCACATCACAGGAATCCGTGCAGACAACCCCAAGTACCAGCCTGGAGCTGGGTAGACATGCTGCATGGCTAGACCCAGGAGAGAGAGAACAATCACTGCTGCTCAGTTCACAGGAAGCCACATCAATAGGAGAAGGGGGAGAGTACTACATCAAGGGAACACCCCATGGGACAAAAGAATCTGAACAACATCCTTCAGCCCTAGACTTTCCCTCTGACACAGCCTACCCAAATAAGAAGGAAACAGAAAATCAACTCTGGTAATGTGAAAAAGCAAGGCTCTTTAATAACCCCCCAAAATCACACTAGCTCACTAGTAATGGGTCCAAACCAAAAAGAAACCCCTGATTTACCTGAAAAAGAATTCAGGAGGTGAGTTATTAAGCTAATCAGGGAGTCATCAGAGAAAGGCAAAGCTCAAAGCAAGGAAATCCAAAAAATGATACAAAAGGTGAAGGAAGGAATGTTCAAGGAAATAGCATAAATAAAAACTTTAGGAAACCTTGGACACACAAAAATGCAAAATGCTCTAAAAAGTCTCAGCAATAGAATTGAACAAGCAGAAGAAAGAAATTCAGAGCTCAACTATACACTGGGGTCAGTTGTGGGGAAAGAGGGGAGGGACGGTAGGGGGTTGGGAGTTGGGGAGATATAGCAAGGGGAGAGATGCCAGATGTAGGTGATGGGGAGGAAGGCAGCAAATCACATTGCTACATGAGTACCTATGCAACAATCTTGCATGTTCTTCACATGTACCCCCAAACCTAAAATGCAATAAAATAAATAAATAAATAAAAATAAACATCTTCAAAAAAAAAAAAAAAAGAAATTCAGAGCTCAAAGACAAGATCTTCAAATTAACCCAATCCAACAAAGACAAAGAAGAAAGAATAAGAAAATATGAACAACGCCTCCAGGAAGTCTGGGATTACGTTAAACAACCAAACCTAAAAATAATTGGTGTTCCTGAGAAAGAAGAGAAATCTAAAAGTTTGGAAAACATATTTCGGGGGATAATTGAGGGAAACTTTCCCAGCCTTGCTAGAAACCTAGACGTCCAAATACCAGAAGCACAAAAAAGACCTGGGAAATTCATTGCAAAAGATCATCGCCTATGCACATTGTCATCAAGTTATCTAAAGTTAAAACAAAGGAAAGAATCTTAAGAGCTGTGAGACAAAAGCACCATGTAACCTATAAAGGAAAATCTACCAGATTAATAGCAGATTTCTAAGCAGAAACCCTACAAGCTAGAAGAAATTGGGCCCTATCTTCAGCCTTTTCAAATAAAACAACTATCAGCCAAGAATTTTGTATCCAGTGAAACTAAACATCATATATGAAGGAAAGATACAGTCTTTTTCAGACAAACAAATGCTGAGAGAATTCACCACTACCAAGCCACCACCAAAAGCACTGCTAAAAGGAGCTCTAAATCTTGAAACAAACCCTGGAAACACATCAAAACAGACCTCTTTAAAGCATAAGTCACATAGGAACTATAAAACAAAAAT